TATATATATATACATACAGTGAAAAGTGCATTGTGCAATATAGCAGCTCCAGGACAGCTCTAGTAATGCAGTTCCGGTAAATAAAAAAAAATATATATATACAATAAAAATTAAAGTAAAATAAAAATTTAATTAAATTAAAAAAAAGTATAAAAACAAATAAAATCAAAATAGCATACCATAACTTAAAATAAATTAAATAAGTAAATACATACATAAAATTAAAAATTGCCAATTGGTTAATTCACTGCACCACCATAGCTGCAATTAGAAGCTCTGGTCTCATAAAAAACAAAATAAATTGTTTTATTGTTGATTTGAAATGTTATTTAAATGTTAGCTTAAATAGGCAACCATACTCCCCATTCAAATAGATAGGAGTTGGTCTTGCATGCCGAAATAGCTGTTCAAAGTTTTTGTAAATATGGCCACCAAGTCAACTGACTTTACTTGAAAGTGACTTTGTAGTTTACCCCAAAATTAAAATTGTCATTGTTTACGCACACTCGTACTTCTGACTTTATTATGGGGAACACAAAATAAGGTCTTTTAAAAAAAATGACACTTTTATTGCATACATTCAAAGTCAAATGGCTCCATTGTTGTTTTGGACCTCATTGAGTTTCCTTGCATGGGCAAAACCCAGAAACATTCTTTAAAATATCTTCTGTGCTCTGCAGAAGAAAGAAAGTCATACAGATTTGGAACAATATCAGGATGAGTAAATGATGACAGTCTTTATTTTTAAATATCCCATTTTACTGAGAAATATACCACATTACTGAAGTAAAATGGTTTGCAAATGACATTTTATGTTGACAGGATCAGGAACCATGAAAATCCCTTTAACCGCAGTTGAACAAACTGCAGTCATGCTGCAAGAAATGTGCACTTATCATGTGTGTATGATGGGGTCATGAAAGGAAATGGGAACAGAAAACAGGAAATAACCTAAACCCGACCCAGTTGCGCCAAACAGTGTGTGCTAACCGCTGCGCTGTGGCTCCAACAAAATAGTCTATTTTGATGCAAATTGTTTGTTTTCAAGCACTCCATCCAGTGTACGGTAAGGACCTAGACTGCCGTGTGCTCCAGTTCAAGCCCAGTATATGAGGAGGCAGTTCAAATCTGCTAGGAAATGAGGATTTAATCCACTTAAAGGGGGAGAGGTTCAATGTAAAAGCTGCAGAGCAGCTCCAGGGCTAGAAGTGTGTGGGAGAGAATAAGCCACTATGCTCTAAATGCAATGTATGCAATAGACAACAGTTCATTTACATACAACAGAAATCCGGTTTTGTCGAAATGACAGGTACCAATAACAAAATGCTGCTTACATTTGGACAATGAAATTACAATAAACCATCAAAATGCTTACTAAGAGTTTGAGCCAACTACAAAGTTCTAACAAATCTAATTGTGACCCTGGACCACAAAACCAGTTGTAAGTCGCTGGGGTATATATTTTTAGCAATAGCCAAAAAAACATTGTATGGGTCAAAATAATTTATTTTTCTTTTATGCCAAAAATCATTAGGATATTAAGTAAAGATCATGTTCCATGAAGATATTTTGTAAATTTCCTACCGTAAATATATCAAAACTTAATTTTTTTCTAAGAACTTCATTTGGACAACTTTAAAGGCGATTTTCTCAGTATTTTGATTTTTTTTTGCACCCTCAGATTCCAGATTTTGAAATAGTTGTATCTCGGCCAAATATTGTCCTATCCTAACAAACCATACATCAATGGAAAGCTTATTTATTCAGATCATGACTGGTTTTGTGGTCCAGGGTCACAATTTAGCAAGAAATGTCATTAAATGGGACAGAAACTAAAATTAATGTGGTAGTGAAACACAACAAACCTTAACTGAAATAAAAGAGCTTTTTTTTTTTTTTTTTTTTTAATTTCTAGAAAATGGCATCAGTGAGTTTTTAATGGTATTTTGGCACAGATGTGTGAATAGCAGCAATACGGATAAATAATGAAAAGCCACTGCATGTGCGAACAACAGATGTGGTACATTTACCAAAAGAGATAGCCAGCAATTTTACTGTGATTTAACGGGTTTCATGTGTGAAAGTGGCTATTGTTTATCACTCATAGTCAAGATTGCTATTAAAGAAATGCAAACATTTATGGGTTATACTAATTAGGTAATGAAGTTTTGAATTATTAGACAAGCTAAAGTTATTCAGCAGAAGCCTTAGTGTCATTTTGACCTTGATGGGAGCACATCCACACAATTAAGTTAATCGACATTAAGAAAATTATACACAACGTTATTTTATTTTTCATTAAACAGTCATATCACAAATGCTTTAGTTTATTTCCCAGTAAAGCACATTAGCGGTCCACAGCACCCTGCAGCATATGGCTTCCATTATTTATAGACACTTACTTTGGCATATAAATAAAAATGAAAAGCAAAGATATAAGAATAAAACGCTTTATTTATTTAACATTGATCAACATCAAAAAAATGATACCAATGCCAAGACCTTTGCAGAGGTCATAAATCACTGTCTGAAATCACCGCAGATACGCTCAGTCACAAATATGAACCCGTGGAACAAGGGCTCTTAGAAAAATGAAAATGGTCTCATTAAACATCAGTGAAGTCCTGCCATTTTTAAGGTTTCTGCAAAAACTATGTGGTAAACTTTAAAACTTTAAAGAGGGAAAGTGCTTGGCTTTTAAGTTGCTTTGCATGAAAATAATTCTATGTATACAACACAGATGTAAGACTTGGCAATATGTAATTTGACGTCATTGTATGGGTTACTTTATTTATCGGTCTCTGTTCTTCGAAAAGACGTTAAAACCTATATACAGAATAGCAAAAAAAGTTGCTCTGTTCGAGTTATTGAACAGCATCCCACATGCCATGCGTAATAAATTTAAGGCACAGCATCAGTTTTAATCAATGCGAAAGATTTAATAATCGCATACCAATTTCAATATCAATAACCGACAAGCACTAAATTTATGTCTAATAAGCGTTGCTCTAGTGTTCCAATGAACCAAGACACAAAACTGACAATGTTCACTGCACTGTCATAAGGTTACACGTTTTACTATACATCATCACATGCCCAATTAAATGCAACTTGGTAATATTAAATACAAAGACACTCAAGGTATCTTTGAGTATTGAGTATACAAATGCTAAATAACCCAAACTACTTGGCTAAATTTATGACATGCAATTAAAAAACGAAAACGAGGACAACACGTCACAACGACGGATGCATATTTTCCCACACAAATTTATATTTACATTTCTAAAAGTGTAGTCTCTTTGTATGTATACAGCACATCTTAGCTTATACTTGAACTTAACTCCTGTGCTTGCAATATCTGTGTTTTTGGATACAGTATATATATTTTTTCTCAGTGTGGAGAAGGATGGAGGAACGACAAGCAGTGCCATTGTGAAAGAGCCACCAAGACCATGGATGCCATGTATATAAAGAGAAGTGTGAGGATAGTTCTTTTCGGAGTTACAGTATCTGCACATAGTTTTCAGGGATGAGTCCTCGCTTTCCCTCCAGCACACCCTCCAGCCATCCGGGCTCCCTGGAGAGTGTCACTGCAGAGCAAAACCACGGACACACAGGTAAAAGTCTTACTGCAGCTCTTCTGTCACACTGCATGTCAGACAAGCAAGAAGTCCTCATCAGATTTAATGTGGATCGTTAGCATGGCTGATGAATGTAAATTATATGGGTATGAGTTAGGAAAGTTTGAAGAACTATAGCCAATCCCTAGAATCGTGTTCAGCCTCACAGGGGTACACAGCCTTTGCTTTCATGAGGGTGACACTGAAAAATGGAGGCAATCAGTTAGTGGACCTCTTGCTATTCGGAAGGGTGGGGGATTAGGACACGACTTTCCATCTAGCTGTAAAGTGGACTCAGCCAAAGTTATCAATGAAAGCAGTCTGCGTGATTAACGTCTGTCCGTAAAAATCCTAGAGCAGAGTGTTGAAATAAGAGAAAGAAGATAGCCATCAAAGAGTAGATATGATTCAAATAAGAGAGAATTTTTCAAGTAAGCTTTGGTAGCATTCAGGCATATCCTGCCATTTATTACTCAAAGTTCCTGTGGAGTGGATTTGGACTACGTTTACAAAGCACAAAACCGTTTGAACGCTTTTTGACCAATGAATTTCAATGGCTTTTTCCATGACTTACCCAAACATTCATACTCACTGCATACATATTTTAATAATCTCACAAAATTCAGATTGTATTGTACTAACAAAGCGCAATTTCAAGTCAATCACATAATTTCAAATGACTTTAAGATTTGATCAATTTTCATGATTTTGATGAAGTTTTAAAGATTAGTATTAATTTCCAAGACTATAAGTTAGTGTACCATCTAGGGCTGGGTATCGATTCAGATATCCCGATTCGATTCGATTTCGATTCGCAAGCTCTCGATTCAATACGATTCTCGATTTTTGTTTTTATTACATTCAGTGAATATAGTTTTAATACAAATGCTATTGATATTTCTAAAAAAGTTTACAAATGGTGAATTAATAAACCTATACTTTTTTTTGTATGGGTCCTTTTTTAAACAATAATAGGGCCCTATAAAATGTTCTTAATTTTTCTGGTAATCAGATGAAGGCATAAAACATTAATTTAATTTATCCTAATCAAATGAAAATTAAACCCTTTTATTTTTTGGCAAACAAAGTGCTGCACAACAGAGGTTTACTGTTAAAATTAAAAAGAAAACAGATGTGATTATTCCTTTAAAAATAATTATTTATTAATATTTATTAGCAGTAGTAGCATTGATTCTTAAGACTGCTAAATAGTAATATATTCAGAGTTTCTTAAGGTTAAACTAAACTTTTATTTTGACGGGTGGCCGTGAAGAACTTGCAGCTGCTGTGTATGTGATATGACGGTAG